AATCAACAGCCTGCTCTGGACCAGCTAAAATGGCTCTCATTCTGCATTAAGAGCAAATAAGTACAATACGAAAGTGTTAGAATGGGATTTAAATGAATGATAAAACTTTAATAAGTTGGCAAAGAAGCTAGAACTAAAGCAATCTTAAACGACTTAAGTTGGAAACACGGGAAGGAAAATATAATGGTGAAATAAATTTTGGTTAAAAACATGTTTTACTCTTCATCTGGGCCAGTTTGGAAAGCTTTTTCTTTTCTTTGACCTTAGATTTATCGAGGACATGTGTAACATTCTTCCATTCACAGTCCATTAAGAACAAAAACTGTAAATTAAGCACATCTATTCTCTAATGTGAACTCAAAACAAGATCTAAAACCAGGGGCACCCATATGGACCTATGCTTATAGGAGTAGAAACATGCACCCCCAAGGAGTAAATTAACATTTCATCAGTATTTCCAAGTTTAAAGAAACAAAATAAAACAAAAAACAGTGGTTTTCTCACTGGAAACTTACTACACAGAACTTTGACATAGGAAATCCAAAGTTAAAGTAAAAAACAAAAACTTTTCCAATAAATTATTTGCATTTGTATAGGATAAATGAGGTTATCCAACAAACCACTTTTTTTTTTTTTTAAATAGGAGACTCTACATGGGAGCAAATATTAGAGTTCAATGGATTAAAATAATATCAGTTGGGATTTCTGTAGCAAGCCAACGGCATTCAGATGTCAATGGTTTTATAAGACAGTCCTGAAGGAAAACTTCGGCTGCATTAACCTTCCAATTTTTGAGAAGCAATCATTTTCTACAGCTCTCATTGCTTATTCTACCTACTAGATCAGTCTAAATTCTAAAAACATCTTCATGCTCACATGAGAGTGAATTTCTCCATGTCTGATTCTAATTACACTACTTTAGAGTTGGCTGCTTATATTGTGTACAGTATTTCCAGAGCTTTTAAATAGGGACAACTATTTTTTCGCAAATACCACAAAAACTAAAATGTCAGCTCTTTATTAAATGTACTAACTGGGGAGAAAGGAGGCATGAGTAAATGAAATTCACAAATACTCCAAGTGCTTCTCTTTAGTTATTACTATTTAATTCTTCCCTTTTAGTCATGTCTTAACAGCTCCCTATTTGTCAAGGATGCCTTGATTCTTTGACTCACTCAAGTGGGAAAGCTTGCATCTTGACATGCTATTATTTTTTTTTTTTAGAAACATTATTCGAAATGGATTTATTTTAAATATTGTGAATGACAGGAATGAGTTCATCTATTTGATGAGAAGAGCCCGGGTGCGTGAGTCAGGGGGAGGGGGTGAGGTGCATTTGGGGTCTGAGTAGCTTGGGCCTGTGAGTCAGCTGCCTTGATTAACATCCTAGCTCCACTAAGCCATCTGCTCCTCTACCTTCTCCACATTCGTCATCTGCTTGTGCTGTCAAACCGTGACAACAGTCATTAGATAAGTTCTTCCATGGAAGAGTCAGTAGGACCAGGTGAAACTGAAGGAAAGGCTTGAGGACGGGGGAGGAAGTCATACCCAAATTATGCTAGATAAATTTGCAGGTTACTGAACCTCAAGGATTTATCAAGCAAGTTGGATAACCATTAAAATCAACTACATTTTGCTACAAGTGTACCAAATTTCCCTCCTTTCCTCCCTCCCTCCCTTCCTTCCTTCTTTCCTTCCCTCCCTCCCTTCCTTCTTCCCTTCCCTCCCTTCCCCCTTTTTGCCTTTCTTTTTAAATAAGAGACTAAAAATAGTATTTTTTTTTAAAAAAAAGCAGTTTATAAATGTTTGTTTTTTCAGCATTGGCACCCTGGACCAATCCACTAGAAACTAGAATTATCACAAGAAAGCATGTTCTTCCAAGAGTCCATTTCCAAACAAAATAAGTATGGGTTTAGTAGTGGGTGAAATAAAAAATATTTCAGATTCTTTTAAACATCTCAAAATTATCTTTCAAAAAATTTGGTTTTTGGCAATACCTTCTACATGCCTCTTCCCAAAAATTTTTCCTTCACAAGTGTGGGATGGACATGTAAAGGGAAATTTAATTTTTTTCTTAGTCTAGATTTCCTAATCAAAGTCACATGAAAGGTACTTTTGAGGACTTAAACATTTTTAAATGTCTTTGTTTTTAGTTCAATTTAGACAAAGAAAAATAAGCACTGCACAAATAGATATTTGGGCAAGAAGTACATGAAAAAGTGCTCAATACCTTAGTACATGAGACATACATATGAAAATGGTGATGAGATATGACTACACTAGAACTAAAATAGAAAATACTGACAACCCAAAATGCTAGTGAGAACGTGGAGCAACCTGAACTCTTCGCATACTGCCTGTGGGAGTGTAAATAGAAATGTAAGGCAAAAAACAAAAGAAAACAAAACAAAGTTGAAGATATCTTTTCTGTGAACCAGCAACCTTTCCATCTTTTAACAATCTTTCCTAACTGCCTTCAGCCTCATCTTCTGAGCTTTTGTTATACTTCTCAGACACTCCCCATTTGCTATGGGGCTTCTTCTCCCTTGTAGCTGCTCTTTGTTAAGAAGATATACTCACATGTGTATGCGTGTAGGTGTGTGCGTTCCCCTTACACCCAGAATAGGCTGGGCAGCTAAGAGGTCATCTGTAAATGCTGATGCTCCTGATATTTATATATTCTTCTAAAGCATGCATGAATACTGTTAAAAGCAAGCATTAATTTTCCAAAGAAAAACAAAGTCTTCCATCATGATGAATTACCTGTCATTGGGACAGTGACTCGGCAATGTCCAGTCATGGTGTGGATTAATGAGGAAGCCCCACGACAGGAAGACGGAGCTTGGTGTCAGAGTGCCAACCACCAGCTGGAGAGGCTTGTGAGAGCGTGTTTTGCCTACGGAGATAACATACAGGTTAACTCTGGTAACATTTAGTGTATTTTCATGATTGGGGTGAAATGCATAAAGATGGCTCTTTATATAATGCACAAATATTAATTCATTGACAATGAATTTAAGCATGAACCAAATGAAATAATCCTTTTTGCTATTTGTGTGTGTATATTGTGTGTGTGTATATATAGGTATATATTCATGTATGTGCAATACATCCATATAAACTATATCCAATTATATCTAGTTTTTATTTTCTTGTGAATCAGGGATGAATATGGAGATCTTGGCTATTACCAGTGAAACAAACAAGCATGCACACATTTCCACATGCATATACATACTTTAGTCACATATACATACATATGTGAATGTATATATACCCACTCCATTTCTTTTACAGAAAAATAAAAACATCCTTGTTTTTTCCTGGTACTGTGAATTAGTGTGAATTAACATCTAAGAAGAGAAAGGAAAGCTTAGCATCTAGGTTGTAGGCTACTTTTTTTTTAAAACCCTATTTAGAAGTGAAAAATCCCTATTATACCATTAAAATAAGAGTATTTTTTACAGTGGGTATCTAATTAGAAAATGTGCATACCTTTTAATAATGCTAGAAGAGCACAGGAAGCACAGTGTTCTGATGAGACTAAGTAGATTTGTGCAAAGCCTAGAGTGATGCTGATAAACCACTGTAGATTCTTTTCAAGTATATAGGGGACAGGCATTTGCATCTTCAAAAATATGTGAAACAGCAAGAATGGAAACAGTGAAAAAGAGAAGGGAAGATCCTCAACCACAGAAACCAACACTGGCTCACACACACACACAAAAAATCAAAGTGAATCAAATACAAATCCAGCAGCAGACTTACTAAAACTGCATAGAGCTAACACAAAACATATACAGTTGTATTCCCATTGGTTCCCCTTTCGTTTCGTGAGACTACGGGTGTTGCATTTGCTGTAGGACAACTTGTGTTATCTTAACCTAATGCAGTGGGAACCAGTGGGTAGGAACGTGCCCATTGTATGAGCTTAGTGGCGGTTAGCTGAACCAAAAGCCCTTGAAAATTGTGCCATACCGTTACTTACACTAGATTTAAGTTCTGCAAATTGCTATTCCAGTGAAAAACCTTCTGAGCCCAGAAAATGCATAGCCTAGTGATGACAGATTGCCTCACTGTAACACAGCTAAATTTTAAAAATACATTTGAAATAATTTTCAATGATAGTTATTGTTTACTTGGTTGCAAACATGCATTTATATGTCTCTGTAGATTTTTCCAGATCCACTCATTAAAGTATCTTGTATGATTGTGATTCAAAGGGTCCAAGTCTGGTCCCCGGGGGGCAGAGGGTGCAGATTAGAATCTGAGGTGAGGGTAGGGGGCACCTGTAGTTGGAAAAAGCCCTGAGGTGATTCTAGTATGCCTTTTCCCACCCCTGAGTTGATTTTCACTAATATAAATATAGGCCCAGAGAAGTTTCAAGGCTGACCAAGGTCACACCGAAAGTAAGATCAAGACTCAAATCTAGGTCTCCTACATTGTAATCTAGTTTTCTTTTTACTACGTTATTAGTTTAGCTCACAATGTATGAATAGAATGACACTTAGACATCAAAGATACATTTTTCTTGCACAAGGAAACCTAAGGCTTATATGACCCATCAAATAATTATTTCACTAAGTTTGGATTTTAATATAAAATTATTAAAAAATTAACATTTATGTGATAGATACAAATATAAAATAAATGGAAGTGAATCCATTGGTCATTATATCATTCTCAAACGCAGATTACAAAAACAAAAATTGTATCTGTTGCTTGAAAGGTGGGGTATTGTATTCTGAGCAAGATGAAACAATTTCCTGCACTGGTCATTACAAAGTGAAAACCAACTTCTAAGGCCAGTGTCATAGAAGCCTCGAAATGAAATAAAATGAAGTTATAGGAGCTACTAAGGTGCAGTCACTGTCTTGACTTTCCTTATATGTTTTTGTATATTTGCATTGTGATTATATTTGCATTAAGAAACAGTTCAATGAATATGAAGGCAGAACCCCATGGAACCAGACTCATCCTCCTTGAATTAATTGTTAAATATTTTGAAATAGTCATGAAATATTGAGTATATTTATTTGGAAGAGTATGGAAGGCTGCCTGGACAACTATTAACAAGTTGTAAGAAGTGATCAAAATTTTCCTTGGGCTTTGGGATAATATAAAAGGTCATGAAAAGGAATGTATTTTTCAAAATGCTTGACCATTTATTGCTTCTCTTAAAAGAGTGGAAAACAACAGGAAGGGAAGAAAGGGGAGAGGATTGTGGCAACTGATTTCTGTTAACCAGGCTTGGTTGATACATCTAGGAGACAGAACACACAGCTGCCGAGGGCCCCTTTGCCGGGTATATTTAAAGATCTGTATGCTCTCCCCACCCATTTCATACCTTAAGAAAGATGTAACAAAACAAAAAATAAAACAGAAGAAAAAAGATCCTTTTTGTGTGTGGTACCTAGTGTGCTATAAAACATAAGTGTGATCAGGAAATAACTATTTTGAGAACAGTTCACATTAGAAAACAAGATCAACTCTATCTACAGAGTTAGGAAGGTGTGGTAAAATCACATTCTCAGCTCTACTGGTCCCTCCTTATAGCAATGGCCAGTTCGTTTGATCCAAGAAGAAACTTCAGTAGTGAAAGTGGGGCAATTTCAAGGTTTCTAATCTTCCTTCAGTCATGTGGAAATGTTTCCATTCGCTTATTCGTATGGTATCTATGTTCCTAACCCTGGGAAGATGGATGTTGCTTTGCTGTTTCAGGAAAGGAGTTCTTCCATATTTGACTAAATAAAACCTAAGTTCTAATCCATTTAACCCAACACATATGAATTAATGCCTTTAAAAGTTAAACAGTCTCCTTCAGCAAAGGTTAGACATCAAAATTTGCCTTCACAATCTGAAAGGCACAATAGCAGGCATGCGCTCACACATTTCAAAATAGAGACAGTCTACCAGGAGCAACTCTCAGTGAACACCGGCTATGTGCCAGGCCCTGTCCTAGGTGTGGCACATCCACGAACTCAGGTAATTCTCACAATGACCCTAATTATGCAGCAGAAAGAAGGCTCAGAGAGGGTCGATCATTGGCCTAAAGCCCTGCAGTTTGCATGTGGTGGTACTGGGATAGGATCCCTAGATGTCTCCACCACCAGGCCATGCTACTAACCTGTTGACCCAGAGCCTGCTGCGCATGTTCCTTCTACTAATCTGCATTCTTAAGGCCTCGCCCAGGGCATGGGTTCTCCATGGGTAGAAGAGAGACTAAAAGCCATAGTTTAGAGTTAATGAACAAAACGAATGAAAAATACCTGAGCATGACTTCTTTCGACTTGGTGGAGGGGCAGGTCGCACGACAATCAGATATTTAGGCTCCGCATCTGGAAATAATAATAACTATTTATCAATAAAATTCTTTGAGAACGAGCAGCATTTGCCACAGCACACCCATGTCCTGACTCAGTGCTCCCTACTTTAGTCATGGTAACCACAGTGGATGAGAGGCCCAGGAATTCAGAAAGTTAATACTTCCTGAGTAGTTCAGTTTAGTTCAGTTTTTAAAATGAAAATTAAATCCAGATTTTCAAGACCGAATGGACAGGGGTAGGGGGTAGGCCTTTCTTCATCAATCCTTTCCCTTGCAAAAGGATTTTGAAAAAATCAGATCAAATCTATTCTGTGATCTTCTTCCTCACAGAGGGTCAGCCTGATGCTAAAATCAGTTAACAGTCCTACTTGCATAAGACATGGTCATGTCACCTTTTGTATCATCTGATTTTGCTCACTTTTGTGAAGATATGAGTATTTATAATGCCTTTTTTAAAATTCTGTTGCATAATTTCTCAGCCAGTTTTCATATCTAAGCAGTCATTTTTATGAACAATTTTTAAACAAACTCACCATTTTAGGTTATCATTTTCACCTAAAATATGCCAGTGGAAAATAAACTAATAGAGAATCTTTTTAAAATATTCAAGTTTTTTTGTTTTTTAAAAGTAGAATTTTTTTTTTTTTTTAATATATCTTTATTGATTTCAGAGAGAGGAAAGGAGAGGGAGACAGACAGAAACATCAATGATGAGAGAGTCATTGATCGAGCCTGCAACCTGGGCATGTGCTCTGACCAGGAATCGAACCCTGATCGCCTGGATCCTAGGTCGACGCTCAACCGCTGAGCCACGCCCGGCCGGGCAAAATATTCAAGTTCTTCATAAATGATGTTTAAATAATCAGTATGTGCTAACTCAATCATGAGTTAATTTATCAAATGATCTTTTTTAAATTGATGTTTCCAAGATGAATGGTTGGCTTAAATATATGTAATAGGTCAAATACACTTTGGGCATACTAAATAGCATTTTATAAGCAGCTCTCCTGGATTAACTAATTGATGGGTATTGTCTACAACATTTCTTCAGTAACTTTGGATCCTGAAACTCATTCTACTCCAAGTTTTTTTTGGATGCTGTGGTCAGCAAGAGTTCACCCCTACTTGCTCAGGCAGATCTCTGCTCTTTGTATCGTTTTCATTCTGGGTTCACAGAGCTTCCCTCTGTGAGTTTGGAACAGAGGCCTTCTCTGCCCAAGGCTTACAGAGCTGACCTCATTCTCAAAGGCAACCTGGCAATTCTACTGCCGTTAATGACTCGAGCCTTTGTCTTTTCCTGGACACCTCACAGCCCTATTTGCTATAACGTGCTGGGTAATTACTGCTGCATAAAGTAAACCAGGGACCTTCTTGAACTGACTTCAGAGCTTTGCCTGTTTGTTTGGTTGCCTCATGAGCACAACACAGATAAAGGAGCATTCATTGTGTTTCAGAGTCTCATGTGTTTGAGAGCATAGCTTGTTTATATTGGGAGTGCACTTAACCTAAATCAACAGTCCCGATGGTAATACAATAACCATTTCCTGATTTTATTTGGGATATAAAGTGATATAAGTATTAAGAAACTACCATGTATTGAGTACTTTCTATGTACAGGATACTTATTAAGCACTTTACATTTGTAACTTAATTACTGCTCATGGCAATCCTACCTGACACATCTGTTATCACCCCAATTTGTAGATAAGGTCACTGAGGCAGTGACCTACAACTTGTACAGTTCCACAGAGTCCCGTGCCCAAAAGGGTCCCAAGCTTGGTTTAATAACCTGCTGTCTCCATCTTGCAATCCTTAATACTTTATTTTTGACTTTGTGTTTTGCAAGGGAAGTTCGATGGGACTATGGAGCATGTGTGTTAGCAGAGGAGATGGGAACAATATCCGTGTCTGCAGTTCCTCCCATTCACGTAAGCATTCGAGATGCCCCATCAGCCCAGCATTTCAAAGGAGCCATGATTGTCTGGGAGCTCAGCAAGACTCACAGGCAGAACAAGGTAAGCATATGACATCTGTGCCTGAGTAAGGGGGCCTGGGAGGGGACACTGCCAGCTCTGTGAGGACACACTTCCCATTTGAACCAGAACTTGGTTCAATGCAGAGAGCAGGCAATGCCTTTTATTCTTTAACCCTCACCTGAGGATATTTTTTCCATTGTTTTTCAGACAGAGTGGGAGGGAGGGAGGAACATCGATGTGAGAGACACAGACTGGTTGCCTCCCACATGCATCCCAACTGACGGTGAGTGGGGTGGGGGTGGGAGTGAACCTGCAACCCAGGTATGTGCCCTTGACCAGGAATCGAACCTGTGACCCTTTGGTGCGCGGGTCCACGCTCTAACAGCTGAGCCATACCAGCCAGGGCAGGCAATGGCATTTTAAGAAACACAAATGAGCAAGGAATCCCAGCATATTCTTTCTTACTCATGTCACTTCTTGTATTCACCAACTACTTATGCTGAAAATGATGATGCTTAGAAGGGATTGTGAAAACAGCCCCTAATTCCTTTTCTTTTCAGTTCTTCCACACTCACAAGCAAGGTGAAGGTGGAGTATTGGTAGAGTGTGCACATATCAAACATGAAGTAAAACACTGAGTTAGTTTTGCACATTTCCACTATTCTGGTAAGAATGAAATACATATATGCATGTATGAACCACAAAATACAAACTAACTTCGGTGATCCTGCTTAGAAGTTAAAAGCTCTTACATTTGCACTTAAAACTAGCATTGCACAATATAGTGATGAATGGCAAAATTCATACTGATAATTAAAAAATTTAATTTTTGTATACCTAAATGACATTAAGTATCAAATAAGATAACACCATGAAAGTTGAGAGAGAAACTCCGGAAGAAAGGGAAAAACTTTTATTTTGGTAACTTTAATGGCATTTTTTTCTGCTTTTTGAACCAGGGACCCTTCATTTTTATTTTGCACTCAGCCCTGCAAATTATGTTGCTATATTAACTTAGTCCTCAAAATGCCCTTTTGCTAAAACTGTGGAATTCAATTCTAGAAAACAAAGCTAAATCCCCATTTTTCTTAAATTCTCCTCACTGACACAGCCTCTTAGAGCTAGCCTTTCCTTTCCTTCCTTGATACACACCAACTCCACTATGTCTCAGTGGTTTTTAAGAAAAAACTTGAAATACTAGAAAAATAACATACATGATCCAAGACATACAAGCAATTTAAAAGTAATTTTTGTTATGATCACAGTCGTTTTGCATAAAGCAAAGGCTGTTACAGCTGATTACAAATTGGAACAGATGTTGGGATCTGGGTGCACATGCTGACTCTCTCTGTTCATTAAAAATGTTCAACATTCATATATTTCAGCAGCTTTTGCACTTGATTGGTAACACAGACATGGAAAAATAAAACTGAAGAAAAAGATTTCTATTTCTGTTCTGAGCTATGAAATTCTTTGTGGATTTGTAGCAACCTGGAAATCTAAACAACGGCACTCTGATCAGAAATTCTAGCAACACATGCCAAAATACATGATTTTTTCATTTAAACAATGTGTTAACTAAAATGTCAATGTAAGAAAATTTGTGTGGAATGCAGTTAGTTTAACAAACTTCCCATTCCTAATAGGTAAGCCTATGCAACGTTGCAGCTACTTAAATCTACTTTACTTAATATTTTTAATGTTCTATGGTGGAGCATAGAGACAACTTACTGTTTAAGGAAATCTACTATTGAAATCATTTATAAGGTACTAGAGGTTTTGATGATATAAATAATCCTCCCATAATTGCTCTGTTTGACAAACCCTAATTCTGTCATTTTTATTAGAGGACATCTGCCTTGCAAACCGTCCTGTTTTAGAATGCTGTCACAGTGAGGTTTGCCTCTGCCATGTAACTTTCCACACAATAAATATGAAATAAGCCAGGATGATCCTAAAGGAAATCAGGTAAGTGACATGAAAAAGCTACCCTGTCATCTTTTTTCACAATTTGGTTTCATGTCAAACTAAATTTCTGGGCATAAGAGCATGGACTCTGGAGCCTGGAAAATCCCACTCAGCTAGTTACCAAGTACAAGGCGAAGTACTTCACATCTGTGCGCCTTAGCTCTCTCATCTGCGAAATGGAAACCATCACAATACCAGCTACATGGAGTTCCTAGTGATGAGTAGCCTATAGCCCTGCCGAATACAAAGTGCTAATGCAATTTTAGCTATCATGATGAGGATTTTTTTTTAATAGCTAGCACTTCTTAAAAATTTTATNAGTAGCCTATAGCCCTGCCGAATACAAAGTGCTAATGCAATTTTAGCTATCATGATGAGGATTTTTTTTTAATAGCTAGCACTTTTTAAAAATTTTATCTTTATTGTTGAAAGTATTACAGATGTCTCCCTTTTCCCCCCATCAATCCCCTCCACTCCACATCAGCCCCACTCCAGGCCTTCCCCACACTCTCGTCCGTGTCCATGCTTGTGCCTATATGCATATACGTTCTTTGAGAGGATGATGATTTCATGAAAGTAGAAGTGTGTGCCTTAAGAGGTCCCAAGGACATATTAAAAGTAAGGAAAATGTTCCAAACCTTTTGTTTCTTTAAAGCAGGTATCGCAGATTCCAAAATACAAAAATTTCATAGAAAATTATAGACCATGCTGATAAATATTCGATCTTTGACCCCTAATCTCTTCTTCTCAGCTCTTTTTCAACGAGGCCCTGACTGTTGAGCACAGAAACCTATCTCTGCATTGTCCAGTTTTAGAGAGAATCCTGCTTCGATGGTTTAGCCAGAACTCCCCTTCCTCCATATCTCATCACCATTGACATCTAATCAAGTTCCTTTTCCTTCACCATCCCTCAGGAGGTATCTGATTCCCCTGGCTTGCCTTCAGCAAGAATCCTATTAGCCCAGTTTAACCACAATTCCCCTTACACTTGATGCTTCCTCTTAGTTATTTTTCATCCATTGACCTCCCCCTAATCCTGTTCCTTGGTTATAAATTTCCACTTTTCCTT